GGGCGCCGCGGCCGCGCGTTCCGCAAGGAGGACGAGGAGGAAGCGGCGCAGCTTGCCGGCCGAGAGGAAGCGCTCCACCCGCGCCCCCGACGGCGCTCGTTTAACCACATCCGCGCCTCCGCTGGAAACGCGTCCAGGCGCCTGTCACCGGTTCCCTCCATTTTGAAAGGGAAAAAAAGGCTCTCCCCCTTCCCCTCCTCCTAGGAGCCGGAGCCGGAGGAGCCGCGCTCATGGCGTTCAGCCCCTGGCAGATCCTGTCCCCCGTGCAGTGGGCGAAATGGACGTGGTCCGCGGTGCGCGGCGGGGGCGCCGGAGAGGACGAGGCCCGAGGGCCCGAGGGCGACCCCGAGGAGGAGGACTCGCAAGCCGAGACCAAATCCTTGAGTTTCAGGCAAGTACACGCGTTCCTGCCGAGATGCACACGCGCTGCCATCCATCCATCTGCGGCTCATTCTGTGTGCGTGTTTGTGGTCGCAATCCGCGTAACCGTGTTCATGGCAATGCTGCGTCCCTGCCTGTAACCAGGTCCCCGCTGTGCATTCGACAGTTCAGGATGTTCTCCCGGGTGTCTTCTACCCCAGCCCTTCTCCATTTCAGTATGAGCTTTCTGAACCTAACCCAGCATCTGCAGTCCCTCCGCATCCCCGTCTGCCTCGGTCACTTTCTCTAAGCTTGAACCTCCCAGCCCCCGCCCCTAACACACACACACAAACACACACACAATCAATTGTGGATCACACCCTGTGGAACTTGGGGCCCTCCCTTGTGGGGAAGAAGTCGCTCCCAGGCCTTCCTGGGGCCCCACTGTGTCCCATATATGCACCCTTAGTAAAGAAGGTCGCGTGATGACAGGCCTCTGGCAGCTGGTGAGAAATGGTGGTCTCTACTGAGCTGTCACCCGTAAGATTGCGGAAGACAGGTGACAGCATTCTCGGCCTCCTGCCGAGTGAGTTCCAACCAGGTAGAGGCCTGCGGAAGAAAAAGGCATCCTGGCGAGAGAATTGGCTTAATTTTTTTTAGGGTGAGGGGGCAATCTTAATTTTTAAACCTCCAGGAAAGGGCTCTTGGGAGAAAAGGAGTCTGTTGCAAAGTGCTTTAGGGGGATGTCACAGGGAAGGATGACCTCAAAAATAAATGGTGCTGGAGAAAGGCTCTGGAGGACAGAGATTTCAGGGAGACGGAGACCAGACAGAAGCCGGAGGAGGGCCCTGTTAGGAAAACCCACAGCAGCTCCCGCCGGCTGGTCCACGCCGAGAACCCGTGGGTTGTAAAGTTAGGCCAAAATACTGGACGTTAGTCTTTGTGGATGTGGAGGCTCCAAAAGGTGTCAGAAATACCGTTGAAAGTGGTAATTCCCCATTTTTCCCCCTTGGCAGCTCGGATTCTGAAGGTAATTTTGAGACCCCTGAAGCTGAAACGCCCATCAGATCGCCACTCAAGGACTCCTGTGATTCACAGCTGGGACTGGCAGGCCCTGGGGCCAAAACCCAAGGTAAAGACTTTCATTTTCTGCCTCTTCTGTTTAAAGTTTTGAAAATGTAAATGAGGGAAAGAAAAGTGTTCGCTTAGGGCCATTTGAAAAGGTTGAGATTGTCTCCTTCCTGAGCAGGAGCTGTTTGAAAGCTCCCGGTTTATTTGAAATGATTTTTTGTTTGGTAGTTTTTACAAATAACAAGTAGGGTAGTCAGAGGCTTTCTTCCTGAAATAGGTTGTACATTTGCAGAATGAGATTATCATTCATTGAACACTCCTGCTAGGCCCTTCCCCTCAGCCCCTGAAAAATAAAAAACGTGTATGGTAACGCCAAGGTGGAGGAATGCTTAGATTTGCTTCACACGTTTCTGCAAAGTGTAGCTGGAGACAAGAATTAGAGGTAAGTGTTGCCTTTTTTAGATAAGGAGGAATCTTAAGAGGCTGTTGCAGAATTGTTTACCTCTTCCTCATCCCCCAGGGATGGTGGTAAGTCCCTGGGAAACCCCGGCCCCTCAGCCCAACCTTGAACCGGCCCTTCACCTCCAGAAGCTGCTGCTCTTCCCCTTTATTAGTAAAAACCATTTTTGTCACCCGGCCAGTTCTGAGTTAAGCTTCACCAGTGCTGATGGAGTTTATCTCTCTGTTCAGTTAATAGAAGGCTGGGAAGCAGTCCCGCGCCCACCAAGCAAGCGCTGTGGAAGGAGATGGCGCTTTCAGAGGGGAAGCAAAATCCATATGTCAGCTTGTCTTCAGTGTTGAGGAGAAAGATAAAGCAGGGGAAGGAGGAACTGAGCATGTGTGGTGCGGGTAGGAGATGTGAAGGCAGATGAGGGGGAGCCTTCCTGATCAGGGGACTTGAGCAGAGCCGGGAAGGAAGATGGGGGGCACGGCTGGGCAGGTTCCTGACCAGAGAGCTTTCTCTACAGAGAGACTGGCACCTGCTAAAGTCTGAGACGGCGCCTGCCTGCGACAGGGGGAGGCCCTCTGGTGGCAGGGTGGCAGCATGTTTGGAGCCCCGGGAAGAGGCCAGGGTGGCTGCAGTGACTAGGCAGGGAGTAGTGGAAGCTGAAGTCATGCAGTTCCAGGGACGTCTGGACCTTAACATAGCGATGCTTTGATTTTCTTTCTGAGTCAGAGAGGAAGTCATTGGAGGATGCGTTTGCTTCCTAGGGCTGCCCATAAAAAGTGCCACAGACTGTGTGGCTTAAGACAACGGAAATTTATTCTCTCACAGTTCTGGAAGCTAGAAGTCTGAAACCAAGGTGTTGGCAGGGCCTTGCTCCCCCCAAAGGGTCTGGGAAGAATTCTTCCCTGTTTCTTCTGGCTTCTGGCAGTTGCTAGCAATTCTTGGTGTTCTTGGCTTGTGGCAGTGAGACTCCCATCTCTGCCTCCTTCATTAGATGGCCAGCTTCTCCCTGTGTGTCTCTGTGCCTTTTCTTGTAAAGACACCAGTCACTAGATTTAGGGACCTTCCTAATCCGGGTGGACCTCATCTTAACTACATCTACAAAGGTACTACGGTTGACCCTTGAACAACACGTGTACGAACTGAGCTGGTCCACGCGTATGCTGGTGTGGAGGGTTTTTGACTGTGCTGGGGTGGGGGGCCCTGCGTTGTTCGAGGGTCAGCTGTATTTCCCGACGCGGTCACATTCACAGATGCGGGAAGTTAGGTCTTCAGCGCGTCTTTTGGAGGGAACACGGTTCAGCCCACGGCAGAGGGCTTTGCAGACAGGGCTCGTGTTTTGACTTCCTTTTTCAAAGGCTAACTGGCTGCCGTCTGGAGAAGGAACTGTAGGATGGATTCTTTATCCTCCCGACAGTTACTGTGC